TGTCATTGCAATACTCGCCATACACCCAGCTATCTACTGGGAACCTYCCTACACCAATAGCCACATTACTGTATGTACTGTCACGGGTCCCTATCATGAAGTCACTCTCACTCAAAAGGAAGATATCGGTAAGAGTGTTGGTCAGTGTCACTTTACTCGCWTGTTTTTCAGAGTGCTTAGGTATAAAACCCTGGGTTATTACTTTGTTTGGATGTCTTTTTTTCCAATCGGATTTWATYTCAGCGCGATCTGATGCTAGAAACCACACTATTGGCTTCTCTAGGTGAAACTTTACTTTAAGAACATTTTCGACATTTATGGAACAGTTTCGAACGGTTTCCAAATTACGAGTTCTTTCATTAGCAGGATGTTGATCTCCCCAGTGGTGATCATTTGTTCGAATGTGAATTCCTATAATAACAGGTTTTTGATTAGAAAACTTTAAAGCAGACTTTGCCTCACTCAATTGCTGTTCCATGTACGGGGATTTTCTAAACAGGATCTCCACAGCACAACCTAGCAGCGTGTACGGATCAGTAGACGCAGGAAGCCCGAGAGTGCCCCAACGTTCCTTGAGGCGAGGATTCCTTTCCAGCTGTTCTGCAAAGTACCAGATGGACTCCATTGACTCCACTTGATTATTAAATAAAGCATCAATATCAGCGTCTTTGGCGATCCAATTGTAAAAGTGTGACTCTTCGTCAGCTCTTGACATTGATGAGTCAAATCCAGCAACAGGTCCGACAGGATCACCCCAGCGTCTCTTGCGATTATATGTTTTTGTATTTGGTTTGATAGTCCAATCGATCTCATTTGGTAATAGAAAATCATCAAGTCTTCCAGGACCACCCCAGTGAATGAAAAATACCCTGTTGGTTAAGATAGCGAGGTAAAACACCGATATAATGCCGTACATGCGGTTGCCAAATCCCCCACATGCACTTCCCGTACCGTCACACCAGTATCCCAATAAGCGCGTAGAGTTGATGCCTGGCAGGTTTTTCAAGGAATCTTTGTGGAAGCGACTGTATTCACGTATCCATGGTCCTTGGCACGTTTCACTGATTTCCCGTTGCCTTCTGGAAAATAATTGAGAGTTTAAGGAGCTTGTAAGGTTTCCAAAGTAAAAAAGTAGATCTGGTGAGAAAGTTACAAAAATATATGATCACAAATTAATATTCACTGATTTTTGAAATCAAACGAGCCAAATNTTCACATAAGGTGCATGTTGGCCGTTGGCTCTAAAAGAGTTCATCCGCCCTTTGTCAGGTCTTATTTTTATTCCTGCTGGGTGACATGCCACCCTCCTCACCAGCAATAGAGCTGGTGGGGGAGCCGGATTAGACGCYGACAACTCGTCCATGTGACAGGTAGTACTGGGCTACAATGTTACCAGTAGCAGGCACCARCCTGACCTGATCTGGAGGGTTATAAACGTTTGCGAAACGCCACCAATCGTCAGAGGAAGCTGTTTTGTATCGCGGAAAGTCCGACGCATCAAAAGTCGCCAACCTCAAAACCACGCAAGCCCACCCAGTGGTGGACAGAGGTTAAGATGATCGCTGGAATGGCTCCTGTAAGGTGGATCGAGAAGACATAAGTTTGCATTTACACCTTGACGGGATCGATGCGTACTTCTATAATCTGGATTTGTCACTGTCTAGCCAAAGGGGAATTCTACAGGTCCCCTTATACAACGTACAGCATAAATTTTACTGTCTAGCCAAAAGGAAATTTTGACAGGTCCCCTTATACAACGTATGCAACATAAATTTCACTGACTAGGCAAAGAAGACTGTTCCAGGCCCCCTTACACTACGTACACTATCGATTCCAGTGCCCTGTTAGAGACATTTTACCATTTTACAATGTCCAATGGCAAAATGTCCGCATTCCCAAGGACACTCGGTACTAGGATAGCAGACATTAGAGTTGTTCAAGTGAACTGGACAAATTTACATTCGGCGTAACAATGTCCGCATCACGAAAGAACTTTGCATTCCTGTCAGCCGAATGATTATTTTTTGGAGTCCTCATGACGCAAAAGTATCAGCGGATATAATTGCCTTCGGACAATTGTCTGTCCGGCTTGTCGGTGTACCCTAGGGCACCAATTAAACTGGGAACCTACCTTTTAAACGACTTTTAACGTGCATGTGTACTGAGAAATATTCTCATTGTGTATAACACGGAGATTGCTTACGCCGATCGAATAAAAACTTTGCCGAACAAAAAAAGAACTTCAATCTGTCCACTTTAATYAGAAAAATTGGCCTTTTTCCGCGAGCGAGAAGGCCAGTTTGAGTATACAGTCACGCTGATAATTGTCAACTCAGTTCAATGTGACAATATACATGGCCCTAACAATAAATTTCACGATTGACTTTGCTTCAAAACAATATATAACATGACTATGTTACCATAAATGCTAAAACCTGAAATTCTCATGTCGTTTGTTTGGGATCCCTGTGTGTTTTCAGCTGTGTGGAATATCTTAAATACAAAATTAGCGATCGTTGTGCTACTATTTTTACAAATTTAACTTATATTTACAGAAAATGCAAATATTCGTATATATTCTGGAAATATTTTGGAAATTTAATCATTTCATGTAGATTTGATTTGTTTAAATTTGATGTAAATTTCGAGTATCTATACTATGCCTCCTTGTCCAACTTGCAATTCTCATTTTCAGTCGTTAGACAAAGGGAACTAGTTTGCAGGATACCTTGTCAAACGTACAATTCTAATTTTCAATCGCTAGCCAAATGGGACTATTCCCGGATGAACTGTCCAATTTTGATCTTCGCTGGCTAGTCAAAGGGGACTATTCTAGGCCCCCTTTCAATCGGTCGGTAAGCGGCAAGCGGGCAGGCGTCGTGGCACTTCACGTAGATAGACTTGAAATCCAGTGTCTTATCAATGTCAAAAAAGAGTCAGGTCATCTCCATGTAGTATATGTATAGACATCCCCTTTAAATTGATATAGCGAG